AAAAAAAAAAAAAAAAATATGGATACCTGGCCAGGCCTAATGGCACAAGCCCATAATCCCAGTATTCTGTGAGGCTGAGGCAGGAGGATGAAAACTTCAGCCAGCCTGGGCACTTTGTGACTCAGTGAGACCCTGTCTCTAAATTCAAAAATTAAAAATGAGCTGGGGTGTAGCTCAGTGCAAAAGGTCCTGGGTTCATTCTGCAGTATCAAAAAAAAAAAAAAATAGATATCTCACAGCAACCCAGATTGTTACTAAGTGAAATCATACAAAGCTGACATTTTGTAGTAATATATCGATCATTTTGATATAGGGGGAATAGATGTGACTCCCAATCCCAGTAGATACCCAAAATGCAAGTTCGTATTCTCTAAAATCAAAGAATGTATTCTCAACAACAGAGGCTAAGAGTAGGAAAAATTTATTGAGAGAAAGATAGCTGCTATCTAAGAGAGACAGAAGGGGGACTGGAAAGTAGGCTGCCTGGGACCCTGTTTCCTAAGGGATTTTTATGGAGCAAAGCCTCCAGGTGAGCGGGATTCAAGGTGAGATAAAACTATAGTCAACTAGTAAGATTACAAGTACGGTCGCTTAGGTAATATTGGTTCAAGTGGGAAATCACAGGATGGGACAAAACTATGATCAAACAATAAGATTACAACAAGTATAGTTGCTTAGGTAATAGTGATTAAATGGGGATCAAATAGGGAAACAAGTCATGGAGCAAGCATATAAGGAAGGAACAAGAATTTTTGGTAAGGGTTGGGTAAGGGATCTTTTCAGGAAGATCTTGGTCCCCTACTTGGGTGATTGATACCTATTTAGAATATCAATCACTGTTATTCATCCTTAGGGGAAGCACTGGGGGTGTAGTAGTTTCTCTCTCTCTCCCTCTCTCTCTCTCTCCTAGTACCAGGGATCAAACTCAGGACCTTGTGCTTGCAAGGCAGGGATGGCACCATTGAGCTAAATCCCCAGCCCCAGTTTCTCTTTTTTTACAACGCTGGCCTTCAGTGAATGTGTCTCGATTGTCCTCCATTTTGTCTCTTCCATTGTCCTTCATGTTGGCTCCTCCAGGGCCAGCCCTGTCTAACTGCCTACAAGATATCTATTTAACTTACCTATCTACAATAATTCCACATGTTGTAGCCTAGCAAATCAGTAGTGGTGCCTGAACTTCAATATGTATATGAGTCTCGCCAGCGGATTCCAAAGGTTCCTCCAGGCTCCGAAGTTTAGGTGCACTCCCCAATGCCACCCCTGGGTCCCACTGGCGCCTTCCAGTGAGGATGGGGGCAGTAGGGAGGAATCACTTCCAGCCACCCTCAAGGACACGGCTAGGACAAAGGGAATGGTCCTGTGTCCCATCCTCCCCCACCCAGGAGCCAGCCAGGGTCTGAGAGCCATGGAGCAGCCTTGATCTGTGCTGCCCAACTTCAAACACAAACAACCCAAATCTTTCCTGATGTTTAGAAGTTTTTAGAGTTTTTAAAAACACTTCTATAGATTTTAATACAATTACACATTCATGCTGTGGCAGTAACAGTTTTCACATTATTCTTACGACTTTTTTCAACTGACTTATTATGAAGGCACAATCTAAGAGGATGCACGACATTCACAACCACAGTTTAGAACAGACACAGAAAGAACCTATCTGAAGTAAACCTAAACCACTGGGATTTGGAGCAACTTGAATATATTTTCATTATGAAAATATTCCTCCTTTTAAACATTGTCTCATTTTGATGTGATGGCAGTTCTAGGTACCCATGATTACTAATATCCATTCAACATATAACAGTTATAATAAAGCATTCACATGACTAGATGGCTAAAGACCCCAAATTTTTAAATAGCTCAGATTTTAAAAAAATGAATTCTTCTGTTAAAAGTCCTAACTTCTCATTTCAGTTTACCCTGAGAAAATAAAAGCCTTTCCCTAGACACATGTCAACTGGGGTGGGGGGGAGTGCTAGGGATCTAACACAGGGCTTCATGCACTCTAGGCAGGCACTCTGCCCTTGAGCTACATCCTCAGCTCAATACATGTGAACTTGGCCAAGGATTATCAAACAAACTGAAGAAAACCATCCAATCATGCTTAAAGGCAAGGTTATCTGTAACATGTTAGAATCATGCAGACTTTGTTATGTGATGAGAATGTTTGGACTCAAAAGAAAGAGCAGAGGGGCCAGGGATTTAGCTCAGTGGTTCCGCCGCCTGCCTCGAAAGCGCAGGGTCCTGAGTTCAATCCCTGGTACCAAAAAAAAGAAAGAAAGAAAGAGTAGGTATTTAAAGAAAATAGGTCAAAAAAATAAAAAAGAAAATGGGTCAACATAAAACCACTTTTTTGTAGTTTATAGAATTAAATGCTCATTTTAAGCATCTGGTTAAGAATCCCTTCTTGTGTTTCTGAATACTGTTCTTGGAATGCATTTATAGTTATCAAGATAAACCAAGAAATTAACATTTTTGTTCTCTATTGTTTAATAAATTTAGGTCCTCTGGGTCATTAAGACTCATGAGTCTTTTGTGTCTCATTTTTTTCAGTCCTAAAGCAGCATGTTATTTCTCTGCTTATTTTATGACCTGCAAAAGCTAATTATTAATAAAGTATAAAAAAGAGATTCCTTTGATAATTACACAGCTATGTTTCAGGGTTGACTGAAACTGGTTTCTCAAGTTGTATCTATCTAGGTCAACAAAGCCAGGCAGAAGGAAAGAAGTTTTTAGTTTTTATTAGTCATATCCAATGACTCTTTTCTCATGCAATTTCCTACATTGTTTTTATGCTTATAGAGGTTTTTTATTTTGGTTTAAGATATTAGAGATACATTATAAATCAAGGGCCCTACCACTCAACTACATCCCTAGCTCTTCTTACCTTTTTTTGGTTGTTGTTGTTTTTGTTTGTTTATTTGTTTATTTTTTGAGACAGGGTCTGCTGTGTAGTTCAGGCTGGTCTTGAACTCACTATGTAGCCCAGGCTGGCCTTGAACTTATAGCAATCCTTCTGCTTCAGCCTCCCAAGTGCTGGGATTACAGCTGTGCACCACCACACCTGGCCACCATTTATTCATTTATTTTTTAAATTTTGAGACCGCATGACACTAAGTAACTCAGGCTGGTCTCAAACTTGTGGTCTTCCTGCCTCAGCCTCCAGATAGTTGAAGTTACAGGCATGCATCACCATGCCTAGCTGAGATAAATATTTTAGAAGTTTTTTTGTTTTTTTAAATTGGGATGCAAATGACAATGCATCCTGGCAAAACATTGTTAGACCCAGCGAGAAAGAACCAACCAGAGACTGATATTAAATCCACACAGGAGTTTATTACCGGGCAGGACCTGAGC